TGTACGTTTTTGTTTGGAGTGAGAAACTAATTATCATTGAAAATTTTGTTTACATGCTGCCAGGCTACTGGAATAGTGGAAGCTGTGGAGGATCTACTCAGATGTTGATCGAAATGGTGCTGAATTTGGGAGCTGTTGTTCTCAATTGCCGTGACCTATCAGTGTATTTCAACCAACGTGATCCTCCACGTTTCATCTGATGGTCGCTGCAACTTGAAGAAAGGGTGGATGAAGTTTGCAAGGCACAATCACATATATGCTGGATTAGTATGCATCTTCCACTTCTACAAGGCAACTCACATTGAAGTAACTATCGATGTTCTGTGAACAGCATCTGAACGATCATAACTATATTAGGATCATCCTTTTGCTAGCAGTAAGCACATTCATCGCTATGAAGATGAACCACTCACCAACCCTACCACTATTACTATGCTAATTAGCTCTGCGTCTTCACTTCTTATCAGAAGTACTGAGCTGCCTTACATATCTTACATACTACCATCTATATATGTTTATTATTAAAGACTCCTATGTATCGAAATACATATATGTAATTAGTGCTGCAGTTTGTTTATCTATAACTCCCTGCTTTCTCTCCTTTTCCCTGTTCCTTTTCCTATTTGTTCCCTGCTTATCACGTGTTGTTTCAATTTCGTTGTGTACAGGCGGCGCGCCAACGGCGCGCCCCAGGCTCTAGTATTATTGAATGGATGACAAGCATAGCTTCAACGAGGAGCAGGTTGGAAAGCCATGAGTAAAATTGTAACCCTAATAAGGATGTGGTAGCACGTTTGGCTTCAGAGAAACATGAAAATTTTCCAAGGGGAGGAACCGAACACACAGAGAACGGCACGTCCAGTCCCGGAAGATCTGCATGAGTGTGACTTCGCCTTCCAAACGCCTCAATTATAGTTTCTTAATATGTTAATTCATCTCCTAGATGCTCACAAATGCTATATGTAATCACCCTATTGTAAAAACTTTATTTCTGGCCTTCTAATATATTCGATAATGCTTTGCCGCTTTCACTTAAAAAAAAAAAGAGAGGAGAAAAGTATATTCAACTCGCTACTACATTAGACGGCTCGGCTAGTTTCGAGTCAAGAAAATCTACTTGTAAATTGAAAGTTCGAGTGCCATTAATTTGGTTTTGGTGATAAATGACAAATCCATTTAATTTGGTTTTGGTGATAAATGACAAATCCAATTACATGAGACTAACATTGTTATAAATATTTCTTTGTCTACTAGTCTCATATGGATATGAAAATGGAATATGAGAGAGAAACGTTCATTGATGGTGTACCTAAATAACAAGGATGAAATGCATGGAGATCAAGCTATATATGACACTCTTTCTCTCCGTGCACATATTAATATATTCATATATAATATTTTTATGTGATTACATAAGCATGTGAGACTAATATTTTGTTTGAGCCATATCTTATTTAGTCTATTTACATTCAGAACATGGAGATGATGAATGTATGTTTTTATTTTAATGCCTATATTTGATAAATGCCTTCTATTCTTGTATAGGATAAGCTCCTAATGTTTCATTCTTTTATGCATATTCTTACTTCACACAACAAACATTTTGTATGCATACATTTAGGGGTAGCAAATCCTATACTTTAGTTATGCATGTAATCGATCCAAGTTATTCACTTTTATTTAATTAAGATATTTACATTTGAGCATATATTTAAGTATATGACACTTGTGGTGTTGATTAATACTCATCATTTATTTATATCCTTTTATACATGCGATCGGTTGGTCAACATGTGGAGGTTGACAACCGGATCATTGAGACTAATAATTTCATTGAATTGAATGAGAAAAATAGGTTCCAAGGATTGAAAAGGTGTTGACACTCAAGTGATATGATTGCACCTAAAATACCAAGAATAACAAAGTGGAGATATTGAAGATATGGGATATGAAGTGGCTACTATGGCAAGACAGTGAAGGGCAAGCGATGCTCGGTCGCGATGGACCATGTGGCGGTGAAGGGCAAGCAAGGGGCTTGGCGCCGAAGAACCAAATCATGTGGTGAAGGGCGAGTGACGGCTTTGTCATGATGGACCGTGCAAGGCCATTTGAAGCTAGAAGTAACCTCATCAATCATTTGATGAATATATGGTGAAACGGTTTCGGCATTGGCGTCCCTTAAGATAAAGAAAGATGGAAAGAAGGCATTCCTATTGGTATAATTCTCTTCCTATTTATATTTGAGTTTAGGAATGCCGTACTATTAAGACGGATGCAACATCGAGGTGTTTGTATATGTCTTGGTGCTCAAAGTGACCTATTATAGTACTACCTTGAGAGAAACCTAAGCTTTAACATATCCTTTGATTGGTTTTGGACCTTGTTTTTGGTTGAGTTGGGTAGTTCTCTTGAGAGAAACCTAAGCTTTAACATATCCTTTGAGTGGTTTTGGACCTTGTTTTTGGTTGAGTTGGGTAGTCCTCTGAGTGAGCTTTCCATATAGTCCAAGATCATCAAAAACGGACTCCCGAGCGAAAAGTTATAGTCGTTTTACTATGTGCTTCTCAGAAATTCTGAAAATATTTCGGAAATATCCGAAAATTATTGGAAATTCCAAAAATGGCCACGAATCTGAGATTGGCTTCTGTAAATTTTCGGACATATCCGAAAATGCTTTTCGGAACTTCCGAAAATTACAGTCTTGACCTACAATGTCTAGTTTTTGAGAGGCTCGGGTATATAAACTCCTACACCCCTCCTTTGAGGGGCTGCTGTTCTTGGGCAATATTAAACACATCCAAAGCCAAATAGCCATCCCCATTTCCCATCCTTTTGTGGTGCTTCTTTGTGAGGGGGATTTGAGAAGGGAAGAGAGTTGGATTGAGAGAGTGAGGAGTTGAGAGCTAGTGAGCTTCACTCCATCCTTTGTGGTGCCTCTTTGTTAGAGGGATTTGAGAAGAGGAGAGAGTTGGATTGAGAGATTGAGAAGTTGAGAGCTAGTGAGTTTCACTCCATACTTTGAGCACTCGAGTTCATAGCAAGTAAATCTTCGATTGTGTTTGTTACTCTTGGGGACTAAGGTTTTCCAGATGGCTAGGCATCGTCGGTGATCACCCAAGGTTGTGGTGTGCCATAGAAAGTTTGTGAAGACTTCGATTTCGCCTCCGTAAGGGAAGAAATCAAGAGTGAAACCGAGGAGTGCATTTGTGCAATCTCGTGAGGAAATGGTTGAAATAGACCCGGTCTTGTGGCCCCTCAACGGAGACATAGGATCCGTGGATCCGAACTTCGGGAAACAAATCAACTTGTCTACTCTCTTGGTTTGTCCGTTCTTGCCATATCTCATATTGTGCTTGAGCTTGTTTTTACCTGATCTACTTGTATGCTTAATTAATATAGCTGGTGACCTTATATCTTACTTAGATACCTTATTTGTCACCTTTTGATTCATATACATTTTGTTTATTCAAGCTACAAATTCATAGTTAGTGTTTTATTCCGTTATCCGCCGAACTTTTCGGTTGAGACCGGAACTTCCAATCTCATACCGGAAGTTCCTATTTAAACCGAAAGTTCTCATATCTCTAATATGATATGAAGTTGTGATAATTTTTAGGAACACCTATTTTACCCCCCTCTAGGCGACATTAAGTTCCTTTCAAAAATTGATAGCAGGTCATTTCATGGTTGATGGATCTTTTAGAGTGTACACCGGTTTTTTTACGTAGCGGGGAGATGTACGTGGGAGGGGTGAGCGGACATATGAAACTCCTCTTATTGAATAGCAAACAAATGTGTTAATCCATAGGGGCAATTGCGCATTTAACCTTGTTTTGAAATGTAACTAGCAATTTGACTCTACTCCTTTTAGTTTGCTTATTTGACCCCTTTTTTTTTAAAAAAATAAAGATCAGATATAACCCTATACCATTAGCTTATTTGACCCCTTTTTTTTAAAAAAATGAAGATCAGATATGTCCCTATACATGTCCCTATACCGTTAAGACAAGCTAACGGTGTTAACTCAAGGAAAAAGAGACCGTCTATACCCTTGCTCATTTGACCCAGTATCTATTTTTTTTATTCAACCAAATATACGACGTATTTGTCATAGGCTTGACAGATTTGAATTAGGTTTCACGAGTTTTTTTGACCAAATTAACGTAGATTTGATAGGTTTTTGACAAATCTAACTTGATTTTTAAATTTCTTTTTGACAAAATTGACTTCAGTTTGAAAAAGAAATATTGAACTTTAACAAAAGCAATCCAAAATTTTAAGGGGTGGCTCCGGCGGAGGAGCAGCGGCGTCGGGTGCTGCTGCACAGAGGGACGGAGGGAGGGAGAGGGGCTGCTCCAACGCGCGGAGAGAGAGGAGGAGCGGCGACATCAGTGCGCGGAGGGGCGGCGACACTGGCTGCGTCCGCTCGGAGGGAGGGAGGGAGATGCGGCGCCGACGCGGGGTGGAAGGGGGCAGCGGCGGCGGCGGCGGCGCGAGGAATGACCCATCGCGACTCCTTCCCCGTGCCTCCCTCTGTGCTCGTCGCCGGTGAGCGCGGGCGCTGTGCGGATCCCAACCTCCCTCCCTCAGCGAACTGGCTGCCGCTCGCCGCCCGCCCTCCGCGCGCCGGCCTCCGCCTCCCTCCCCGCTCGTCGCTGCAGTTGCCGCTTCTCCCTCCGTGCGCGCCGCCGCCGTTGCCGCTTCTCCCTCCGCGCGCGCCGCGGCTGCTCTCTCCTCGCGCGCTGCCACCGGGGCTTCTCCCTCTGCGCGTTCCCACCGCCATGGCTCCTCCTTCCGCGCCCGTCGCCGCCGGGGCTGCTCCCTTCCTCTACGCGTGCGCCGCGGCCGCCGGGGTTGCTTGCTTGCACTACCACAGCATCAGAACTCCTGCAGCATCAGTGCCCCACAGTTTATTGAATGGTTACCTCCAGACTTTTTTGGCTAGTCAGGATCATGAGCCCAGACTGGTCAAGGCAGCCAGATCGAATAGTTCAAGCAGATTAATGAAATTGCATATCTGGAAGCGCAATTGTTTTGTCGAACAAGTTTTCGATTACAGAAACATTACAGCGCAACTTAACTGATGAGGTGTTCACAACTCCCCCTGGTCATAGTTACCATGGTTACATAGTTACCACTTACCAACACAAACAATAATTTGATATCCATAATCATGGTTTCCTTTGGTTTTGACAAGTACGTACTTGTACGGTTCTATCTACTTTCTGTGCTCAAGTCATGTTTACAGGGACATCCATCACTTTTGGGGGATGACATATTCAGCCGTTGGAATTCTGAAACCGTGCAAAGCAATAGAATTCCATCTAGGCATCAGAATAAAGATTAGTAATTGTTGTTCTCCATATCATTAGCAGCAAGGATGAAATCTTGATACGAACTGTCAAGTAGATAGAATAATTAGACAGTTGGAATTAGTTGTAGCATTCCTAGGAAAGAAATTACCTTGTATGCAAAAATTCTGCATGCTGTTTTTGGGCATGATTACACAATTAACGCAAATCTTATTTACAGACATCCCAGTAGTATTAGCAAATGAATCGGTATTATTATTATTCTACAAGTTTCAAAGAGTCTTGCTAGTGTAGTGTATAAATTACAGCAATGATCCTTAGTTTAGGAATAGCAGGTTCTGATATTTGAACCCTGTTTAGAGTAAGAATTTTGCAGGAAGTTCATAGAAACCAACTCAGAAAAATACTCTCTTAAAATCTAGATCAGAACTTAGCATAGAGTTATATCCCCTTTCCAATAACAATAGACAGGCCAAACGACGAGGCACACTTGAACAGAATGCAAAGCCACAACTTCATGGGCAATTTAGAAGCCAAAGATAAATGGGAAAATTTGTAGTGCAAACCTAGAAACTACCGTTGAATCAAAAAATGGGCATTTGAAAATCGTCCAATGTGACCATGAGTAAAACTTTAATTCATGGTTAAATCTAGGAGTAAAAACATCTCATATGGAAAAACAGCAAAATTATTTCATCAAAACTAAAAACAGAAATTAAAAGAAAAATAACTTAGAATTGCTGCCAATTGTACACATATCATGGATTTGATTGCTGAATACTGAAAAATAGCTATAAAAAAGCAAAGGGTGAGAATGATGTTTATGTTCGCACAATTGAACATTAGAAATTTGTTGCCAATAACCAGTAGATATTAGAAAACAATGCATCGCAACAGCTGACAGACTAGTAGTGTCGAAACCTGAAATTCCGCATTTGGATGGACTGACTTTTGCCAGCAGCATTACAGTTTAGGTTGTTCCTTGGCTCTGCACTGCTTGATTCTGTGGAATAAAACGAAATTACTGTCAATTTGAACATCTCATATGCTGACAAAATGCACAAATGAATGCAAATCAACTATGGTGACCCACCTTTGCTTTCAAGACTTTCTGGCTTTCACTGAAATACTGATTAGGATGATTGATTCCAGTATCACATGAGACACCATGTTCTGCCTCAAAAGTCATCGTGCAAGCTAGCTGTGTATTTCATAACTCAGATGGTTCAAGCAGACGAAGTTTAGAAGATTGCTTATTAAAGGTAGAACTGTGAGGTGCAGTACCTGGTAGTGCCTGTTCTTCACTTTATCCATTATCTCTTCTAATGGATGACCACTGATTCCCATTTTATTGAGAGCTGCTCTCAAGTTGTCTTCACTAGAAATATCACACAAGAAAAGGACACATGTAACTCACAAAGACAGTGATAGCTGTAGGTTCTTTTACATATTCGATAAATAGTCTACTGCTAACAGAGAGTTTTAGGATATGAAATCCCATGTCCCATTGACATATTCGATAAATAGTCTACTGATAACAGAAAGTTAACCATAAAACAAATAAATGCTTAACTACTCTGTTAATGGCATGGTAGAATGAGATTATACCCAAAATGTCGATAAGGGCAACCATGGTGATCACCAACACCAGGTGTTGCAGAGATAATCTTTTGACATGAATACGGAGTGTAATCCTGGAGGAGCCATTTGTCTGAGAGATGAATAAGTTGATTATCCAAACAAGCAACAAAAATAGAACAAGGGGCTTACTGTTCGTTTTCCTTCCTTTCCATAATTATGCCTGATACTGTAGGCATATTCCTTGTCAAATCGCTCAGAGCCAACCTTATCCAAAGAAAACCCAACATCAGTGAAGCAATATAATTTGTGATGGCTTGCACAATGCAACACGGGGTATTACTTGTTTAGTTTGGGGCTTCTTACTGGTTAACTCAATGTTCAACACTATAGATAAGAATGCAGTACACGATCCTATAGAAAATTTTCTTGACACGGCTTACTTGTATTGTAAAGAAACAGAAAAGGTTTGCATGTGCTATTTCCAAAACATAGTTGCTGTTTACATTCTGAAAGAAAATTAGGCACCTTCTGAGAAAACTCTGCCCTCCAAAATGCTAGAGCATCTTCCAACTTTAGTCCAGCTCCCTAAACCATAGTTTTAAGAAGCAAGTTAATGTGACATAAATAAAATAAGTGTTCACTGATAACAGAACCAGTATTAAGATAATTCATTAAGTTATTACCTTAAGGAAAAGACCAAACTGCATTCTGCCCCCATGCTTCAGATGATGGTTTTCTCTCAACTGAAAAATAAAAGCAATCACTAAATAACCTGATCATAAGGTAAGCAAAGTATGTGAACTTTTAAGGTGCCTTGCCTTCTCTAGCATGTGGCGCATACAAAGAGGGAAAGAAGTTTTAGCCAGTTGGTCAATATCCTTCAGAGAAATCTCAACAGCATCCTTTGGCTGTATAGAATATTGGATATTTGATAAGCCAGACAATTAATAACAAATATAGTAAACATTAGCATTGAAGAAAATCCCATTAACAATATCTGGAAAAACACCTATAGATAAAGCAACATACCTGAGAGTAATCAGGTCCAAAATATGCATTACTCAATGCTTCGACAATCTGTTAAGATAAAAAGTGTGGATTATAAAAGTTATGAAAAGATTGTCTGGAGGAATACGGGAAGTGGTTAATTGATACTCACAGGAGTCAACCTATCCTTTTCTTGTTCCTTAATGGTGGCCGTCCATTTTCTGTACATCGAATTATTTATATTATAGCTTAGTACAGCCTGTACTAAAGAGTGTTCTAAGTTGAGAAATAAATCCAACTGTCAAGGGGCTTTTGTTCTATGTAAATTATTGGCAAATAGTAGACAATGCTGTTAATGTTCCTAATTATATCACCTAAGAGTGCAACAATTTTTCCAGCAAAGAACTAAGAAAGCACACTTCCCGGACATGATATGTAGCTAGGCAGAGTAAAGTAGAACATTTGTACCATGTACCTATTTGTTAAAACAAGTGCCTTCGAGATATTGCAGCGGAATTGGGTAACCACAAGCGAAACAACCTATTAAATTATACAAGTATGTTTAGAATGGGCAGGAAACAACATCCAAAAAGTACATAGAAGTTTCCAGTCTCGTTTTCGCAGCAAACCTGACTCATCGCAACATAAGCATATCCTTTTGAAAGAAATACTCGGCGGCTGGCAACAAGATCTGGAACTTCTTCAAAAGGCACCTTACATGGATACGAACAAGGTTTATTTAGACTGGGTAATCACACGAACAATTTTTTTCTACTGGATATGGAATTGAAGAGGTAAAATAAACTGATGCAAATACCTTGAAGAACACAGATTCAACTGCAAAACGAAAACATAGAACAAACTTAGCAAGTGAAAGATCACACCTGCAAGCAGCGAAGCACCATTGTGCTGAAACAACATAAAGAACAGGTATCACATAGTAAGATGTTCCATACCAGCTGCAGATTGACCAATGGTGCGTGCAACTTGGCTCAACTTGTCTTTGACAGCCTAAAAACGTGAAAACAAGAACATCTCACTACTGTAAATATTACTGAAATCATCAAGGTCCAAGTCAACAGAGTGACCATAACACATACCTCAAATTCCGAGTGTGGCAATGCTTTGTATGGAAGTCGAAACTCACTCATAAGCATCCTCTGAAAAATACAGTGTGGCAAGGAACGGTTAAAGCATGATAGCTTTCCTTGTATGCAAGAAAAGGACAGAAAGTCACCTGTGATTCAGGACTCTCGAGCCGAAAGCGATAGCGAAAAAGCGTAGTCTCCATGGAGAGAAACCACTTCCGCAGCTCCTCCCTAGAATGCGGGTATAGCACAAAGCCTTTGAGAAGTTAGTCAAAGGTTCAAACTTGAAAGCACCAGAAGCAAACCACCGGCTTACTGTCTATGGAATGTCAAGTACTCAAGTGTAACGAATGTTAAGCTTACGTTCTGCAGTAGACAAGACGGAGAACAAAGTGAGATATTATGTCCTTGTTCAAAGTCTCTGTAGGATCCTGGTGCCTCATATGGGCTTTCCACAATTCCTTGACCTAAGCACAAGGAGGGAAAACAGATAGGATTACTGTTAAAGAAAATATGGTAAACTTGGTAACTAGAGCTTGAAACTCTAACCGCGAAATTATGTTCAAGATTGAAATCGAAAAGTCCAGCAAGAAATGGAATTTAATTTGCCCCAAATACATGAAGGAATTCGCATCTCCGTGGTAGAATTGCAACGAGATATATAGAGAGAGGACGGCTCACCAATTTCTCCATTTCCTCCGGTCTCTTCCCTCGCGAGAGCCCGTCGGCGATCCCCTTCAATACTGACCAACACAGCAGCAGTCTAGATGTCAAATCGTTCACAGAATGCGAGGAAGGAAAGGAAAAAAGGACTCTACAAACGCCGCCACAGTGGGGAGGGGAGAGGAGGCGCCCGCACCTCGGAGGCGGTCGATGGCGAAGAGCTCAAACTCTTCCAACCGCACCTCCAGCTGCGGCGCCACCCGGTAGGTTGGCAGGCCTCCCGCCCCGCCGCCACATCCTACGCCGGCCGCCGCCTCCGCCGCGATCTGCCGGTGGGATCTCACGATCTCCATGGCGGCGGCTAGGTCTTGGCTCGAATCACCGTTGGGAGCGACGCGCTAAGCCCTCCCGTTGCCCTCCCGTCTCTCCGTCGGCGCGTTTGTGGGACGCGGGATAGCGCGAGATTGGGGATTTTGGTGGCGTTTTGGCGGGAAACTGCCGCGCTTTTCCCGCCGCTAGGACTTTTGACGATGCTAGAGCTCCTGAGCCTGATGAAGGGCAAGGCTGACGTGGAAGTCAACACGCACACGTGGCGAACAGCTGGGTCCTTCTAGTCAGCTAGTGGGTTGACATCCAGTCCAAAACTGCTCCAAACCCCGCGAAAGCTAATTGGCGCGCGCCAGCTGGTGGCGGTCCCTCCCCGGCGCTGCGTTTTTTTGTTTTTTTTCACGATTTTTTCTTTTCTTTTTCTCTTTTTTCTGATTATTTTTTTAAATTTTCAGTACGCGTGTTTTCAAATATTTTGTGTTAAAACTTTTTAAATCATTACTTGAAAATTTTTAAATCTGGACTTGAAAATTTTCAAATCTCGAGTTAAAAGTTTTAAATCTTGAGTTAAAAAGTTTTTAAATCTGAGTAGAAAATTTTCAAATCTCGAGTTGAAAATTTTTAAATCTGAGTTGAAAATTTTCAAATCTCAAGTTGAAAGTTTTCAAATTTGGGATGAAAAGTTGAAAGTTTTTGAAATTTGAATTTAAAATTCAAATTTCGAGTTGAAAGTTTTCAAATATAGGTTTAAAATTTTGAAAATTTGACTTCAGATATAGATTTTCTTTTTCAATTTGTTCGTTAAAAAAATCTCGCGGGAAAAAGAAAATCTTATCTACTACCATTATTATCTCAAACTATCGTTATCTAAAACTAAAAGATTAGTCTAACCACCTTATCCCCAGAAAAAATGCGCGCCGGTGGCGCATACGCGCCAACTAGCGGTCCCCCTCCAACCCAACTCCCTAGTGAAGCAGCGATCCAAACCACTCCAACCCAACTCCCTAGTGAAGCAGCGATCCAAACCAGTCCACACTGCTCCAGCAGCTCTAGCATTCGGGTATTAGCAGGGTGTCCTCCATTTTTGCTGTTTTTCACATGCCACGTAGACTAAGAACATTGTAAGCTAAATGCTCTACAGTGCAAGTTGATTATAGTGGGTCCCACCAATACCATTTCTTTTACTTTTCATCTACCCCTCTTTCTCTCTTTCTTCTTTCACTTTCATCTTCCCCTCCGCTCTATCTCTCTCCTTTCTTTTTTTTCCCAACCGGCAGAACAATATGAGGCCGAAGGCTGGGGGTGAGCAGCGGCGGCTGGCGGGGCGGTCCATCCGACGACAGTGCCGGGCGGCCCGAGCGGTGACGGCGTGGGGCGGCCCGAGCGATGCCGGTGCCGACTCCGAATCGATGTTGGTCTCAACTGTAACATCCCAGGTAACCACGTACCTAAAGTGCCACACCAAAATACACTCAAAACCACTAACTTCTAAAATTATTAGAAATTTCGGCAGAGCCTCACCTAAAAATAGGGACATCCACGACAGGAAGTCATAAGATAAATCAATAACGAATTAATCAGCACATTGCTAACCATCCTAACTCCATAAATTCCACAAGGAAATGTGAACCAAAACTTTAATTGACCATTACAAGTTCTACGCAAAACTTATGCTAAGCAAAATCATGATCTAAAACCAAATTTCAATAGTGTAATAAAATGTGTAGTCCTTGTCCTACTCTCGTCCCATGCTGATCGATATCATTTGGTACCTAAAAACCAAATTATGCACAAGAGTGAGTAAAGAATACTCAGCAGTTCTATTACTGTTTTATGCCATCTAACGGAATATAATCTAGCAAATAATACAACTTCGGACATCTAGATAAAATTGTCTAAATTTTTCATGTTGGGCACAAAATCAGATTAAGCCTCTATTGGTCTCAGATGAAGTAAAACTAATTATTGTCCATGTTAAAACAGACCCGGTCAATAATACTGTTTCTGTTGTTTCTCCTAAACCGTTTATTGGAATCGAGCGAAACCAGTGGTGTTAGAAATATATCGACGATTACTACAAACTTTATTTAGGATGCATAACCCGAAACCTGATTGTTTACTACCAGATTTGAAAATACGTTTCCCAGCCCGTAAACAAGAACCTAAAAAAAATTGCGTAAGCGGCTATCGAATCAATTTCTATTTGAATATTATGCTTCCAGAAAGTAAACAAAAGTACCGTTGCAGCGAGGATACTAGAATTTAAGAACAAACCCACTAGTTGCGAAGTCACCATAAACCCCAAAATTGCTTGGCCTTTACCTTCCCTTCTTCCTCCTGTTGTTCTCCTACACCCTTCTCCTCTCTGACCACGCAGTGTCGAAACAAGATTTCGGCAATACTAAAAGGGGGTGGCTATCAAGCTGAAAAAGTAGATGGGTTCAGAGACAAGGAATTTTATATAGGTTCAGGCCTTCTTATTCAAGAAGTAATACCCTACTCCTGTCCGGGGATTGATCCGCCGAGTATATTATTGATTGTATGATCTGGGAGAAAAAATCGTGCCCCTAGAGGCACCCGGACCCCTCCTTATATAGGGGAGGAGTCCGTATTACAAAGTACAGACCATATCCCTAACGGAATAGGTAGTTACAGATAAAATACAATCGTAACCGACTAGAACCTTGGATATTTCCTTGACATACAAGTTTAATATTTAACCCGAGTCCCTTTAAAGATATTCTATCTATACATGGCACCCCATACCCAGTCGGTTATACATGCCGTGTAGGTATGGGGTATCCATAATCTCCACAGTAGCCCCTGAGACCTTTACAGTCGACGAAATAGTCTTCTCTCATAATCCAAAAAGACAATCCGAGTGCTTTAACTTCCTCTGTTTTGGTCTCCCGAGTAATAAAATCAAAGACTGTGAAGGGCTGAAGAATAGAAAAAATCAGGTGCATCGACTAGATGCACCTAATTAGGTGTAGCCCCCGACTATGTGGTTAGTTAAATAAAACTAAACATATAGTCAGAGTGCATCAAGACATCCATCCGAGTGGTTTTAAACCAAACGGTCTAAGGCTAAGCATGTGCAGCATCTGATAAAACCTCCTGCCGACTGCTTTTAATGCGCCAAAGAAACATAAAGAAAAACCCGAGCGAGAAGCACTCTAAAGGTTTATAAATCAACATAGATGATAAAAGGCCGAGTAAAAACTCTCAAAAGACCTATCAAACGTGGCATAAAATTTGATAAAAGATGAGTTTAAATAGCCTAGGCTATGACTCATGCCATAATCAAAATAAGCATATAACATGCCGAATGGATGACTGCATTAAAACCAATCATCTCAAGAAAACCCGAACAGCATTTGTAGCCTAAAAGGCCTACAAAATTAGTATAACACTTTTCTGTTGGGCACCTTTTTATTTGCATCGTAGTAATTCCAAAGAATTATCTAACTGCATCAAAAAGGATTTTAGCAGCATCGAGTCACATCATTATGAGCACAAATTGCCAAAGCAAAAAGCGCCTAAGTCCCTAGGGATCACAACGGGCCACGCTGATAATAATATTGGGCTGAAGTACTGTACAGGCCCAGGCCCATTAGTACTCCCGATACCCTAACAAAACACCGAAGTCCAAGCGACGCTTCGTCTTCCCCGCCGAGACTCTCGCCATTTCCCCACTCCTTGCTACAGTTAAAAACCGCACCGACGAAGCTAGGGTTCATCAATCCGCCCCAATCCATTCTCAAAAATCCCACGAAACTTCTCCGCGCGTCCTCCGCTCCGATTCCTCATTCCCCTCCAGCTATATCTTGGACCAAATCAAACCATTCCACACGCATCCATGGCGGAAGAGAGAGAAAGTTTTGAGAGTCAGTGGGCGCCCTCCGATGTGATGGAGGAGAATCTGAAAGAAATGGTAGCACACGGCGTTCTTCCAGTGAAGGAGATCATCGGGTGGTGACCAGCGTTCAGCGAGGCGTTCCCGACCCCCTATACACACGAAGTCGTGGTATTTTCTCACTTCTTTTATGGCGGGTTTTCTCTTCCAACTTCAGGATTTTTCCGAGGAACTCTGAACTTCTATGGAATTAGCCTGCATCATCTGAATCCAAACTCCATAGTGCATATCGCCAATTTTATTCATGCCTGCGAAGCTTTTCTGGGCATTAGACCTCATTTTGCTTTGTTCCGCCGCATCTTCTTCCTCAAGCCCCAGCCGAACAAGAGCAAACCATGCGTTGTTGGGGGCGCTGGTTTCCAACTCAGAGGAACACTAAGCCAAAAGTATTTCTCCATGCCCTTCAAGACCTCAAACAAAGGCTGGCACGCAAACTGGTTTTACGTTCAGAATCCTGAACCAGCACTCCCCGAGTACTCCTGTCTCCCTCCGGTCTGCCAGGACACATGGAATTCATTGCCTATGGGAGATGAAGCTGCTCAGGCAGTGGAACTGATGGAGCGCATGCTAAAACTGAAGGAACAAGGTTTGCAGGGAAAGCAGATCACTCGGCACTTCATCAAAAGTCGGCTAGCTCCAATCAAAGAGAGATCCCGCACGGCTTTTGAATTTGATGGCAAACATGATCCAAATCGTGAAGATCCAGACTCTCTTGACTTTAAGGTCATGAAGGAAAGAATGTACAAGATCTTCTCAAATGCTATCGTTGTCAGCTATTCACATCTGCTGCCAGTTGTACCATACAATGCTTTCAACCCCCCTCCACCGGTATGTATTTAATATCTCAGCCTTTCTAAAAAGCATGCTTTTATCTTCCGCGAGGTTGACTAAAAACTTGTAATATACAGGAGTTTACCTTGATGAAGTCTGATCCTCCGATTACCCAACACCGCACTCCTTGTGGGAAGACTAGCCAAACTAGTGGAGGGCCAAAAATCCGTTCTGACTCTCATCCCACCACCACTCAGTCGGCCAACCAATCAGATTTCCGTAAGAGGAAATTGGTCCTGAGTGACGACGATGATGCTGAAAAGGCTGGCAGCAAAGGGGTGACTGGAAAACATCCAAGGCAGGCTAACCCAAAGAAGAAAACATCCAGTCGTCCCATGCCAAAAATCAGGAAGTCTTCTAGGTACAAATTATTTGGCGGTCTTCCTTGGATTGACGCTCATTCATTAAAATTATACTGATAGCATAACTCAAACT